TCTTGTGGGCATTTAGTGCTATAAATTTCCCTCTATACACTGCTTTAAATGTGTCCCAGAGATTCTGTTATGTTGTGTCTTTGTTCTCATTGGTTTCAAAGAACGTCTTTATTTCTGCCTTCATTTCATTACATACCCAATAGTCATTCAGGAGCAGGTTGTTCAGTTTCTATGTAGTTGAGCGGTTTTGAGTGAGTTTCTTAATCCCAAGTTCTAATTTGATTGCACTGTGGTTTGAGACACAGTTTGTTATAATTTCTGTTCTTTTACATTTGCAGATTTCACTTCGTTCTCTTCTTATTCTCATGGTTTCTGATGAGGTGTTCTCTGTAATTTTTCTGCTTTTTCATTTACGGATATTTTCCCTATTCTTCTAGCTTCTTTCAAGATTTCTCAGTTTTTTTTTCTTTTGAGCAATTTGAATATATGCCTAGATATAGAGTTTTTGGTATTTATGCAAATTGGTGTTCTCTGAGATTCTTAAATATGTGGTTTGGTGTCGAATTAATTTTGGCAATTTCTTGGTGACTGTTACTTCAAATACTCCCTGAGCTTGATTCTCTCTTCTTCTGATACTTCAGCTGTGTGTGTGATGCACCACTTCGAACTGTCCCACTGTTCTTTGGTGTTCTGTTTTATACATTGTTTTGTTCTTTTTGCATTTCAATTGTAGAAGTTTCTATTATCCTGTCTTTAAGTTCACTGATTTTTTTTTCCTATGCTGTGTCCAACAATGTACCCAACAATGGCATTCTTTATTTCTGTTACAGTGTTTTTGATATCTAGCATTTTGTTTTTATTATCCCTTGTTTTATTATCCCTATCTGTGCTTGCATAATGTTTTCTTTTTCCTTTAGAACCCTCAACACATTAGTCATAGTTACTTAAAAGTGCCTGTCTAGTAATTACAAAATCTGTTTCATATCATAGTTTGGTTCTGATGCTTGGTTTCTCTCTTCAAATTACCTTTTGAAATTCCTTGTAATTTTATATTGAAAGCTGGACATGGTATACTGAGTAATAAGATTCAGGTAAATAGACTTAGTGTGAGGTTTTACGTTGTGCTGTATTTCATATTTACTTTAGCTGTGGGTGCCAGAGGCATTGATTCCTCTAGTATCCTTGTTTTTGCCTCACAGTCTTTTTTGGTATCTCCAGAAACTCTTTAGGTGAAATCTGTCTTGCAGCTGTTTCAGATGTTGGTGCCCTGGTGGTGTTGTGGTAAAGTATGGGGGAGGAGAAGCATGCTATATTCTTATGATAAACTTTTAGTCTTTAGTGAGCTTGTATTTCGGTACTGTGACCTTCACTCGTGTTTCTTTCTCCTCCCAGTTAGATGAGACAGACTGGCTATAGGAGGCTGGAGTTGGGAACTTCTCTTTCCAGATGGAATGCAATGTTCTGATTAAGCCATTTCTTCCCGAGAGGTTGCCTGTTTTATGGATAATGCTCTGGGCATATTTCACAATGGTTACTTTTTTCCTCTCTTCATGCCAGAGCCTTGAGAGGGTCTTTCTTGTTTTTTTACTGATAATCTGGTGGGATATCTGGAATCTGGTCGTATATCCATGCAAGTGTGGAGGTAGCCCCTAAGACTGAGGGGCCCTCTAGGATTTGCTCACTCTTAAGCTAGACCTCAGTCAGCCTCCAGCAGTTTGTCAAAATTATCACTACTATTTCTAGAGGCTGCTACTCCAGGTAGGCAGATCTTGGCTGTAACTTTTTGGATTTGTTTGTCTTTCCAGATTTCAGGGTGATGATTTGCCTTGTAATATCAGTTTTCTGATGAATCCAAGAAAAGTCACTGATTTTTTCTGTTTGTTCTGCCTTTTTCTTATTGTAAGGACAGGAGTGATAACTTCCAAGTTTTTTTTTTTACATGTCAGAGTTGAAATTGAAGGTCCTATAATTCCTTTTATATTTTAACATTTTTAGTTTTCTCATTTTTTCATTTCAGAATTTCACCACAGTGGTACTAGTTATGATGGCAAGAACAAGGAAAAATAATAGTTTTTACATTATAAATGGTACTGAGAATATGAACAAGGAGATGTTTGTGTTGCTAGATAGCTAGGTGAGTGAACAGGAGTTTATCCTTCTATATTTTTTGTGAATCCTGAAAGATTTCTAGGAATCACCAACTGAAAAATGTTGGGACACATTTGTCTAGATCAGAGATTGGCAGATTTTTCCTGAAAAGAGCTAGATAGTAAATATTTTATGCTTTGCAGGCCATGTTGTCTCTGTTGTAGCCACTCAGCTCTGCAGTTGTAGCACAAAAGCAGCCACTGATAATACTTAAACAAATGATTGTGACTGTATTTCAGTAAAAGTTTACCTACAGATACACAGTGTGGGCCAGATTTGACCCATGGGGCATATTTACTAATTTGTGGTCTAGAAGAACAGTTTTTAATGTTTTTGTTCCATAGCTCTCATCCTGTACTGAATATCAGTAGATGGTGGCCATTTTATTTGCATATATTTTACCATATTCAGGTATTGTCCCATGTTTGGATAAAGGTTTTCGTATATTAATCAAAAGGGTTCAAAAGGTCTTAAGAGGCAGAGGTCCAGGCTTTATTTGTGAGTTTAAAACCTACCTCAAAGTTGCCATAAAAATGTGATTCTTCTTCACTTAGTTGATAACAAAAAAAAAATCTACAATTGCATGTGGTATGTTAATTTTAAAATAAGTACTTTTATCATTTCGCTTTGTAATGTAGGCATATCAGGTGTTTTAAAAGTGAGGTAACAAGTGTTGCCCAAGATCAATAGATGGGACCAGGACTGGAATCCAACAGCAACCTGAGTTCCAGTGTAGAGCTCTTTTCAACAAATAATGTATGATATCACCCATGGCAGTTGGAGCCATGTCATGGAGCCAGTAGATTGAAGATTAATCTTCAGATATTAGTTCTGGGGCTTTATTCTTAATAAGAAAAGTGAGATACTGTTTGTTTTAGATAATTCTATGTTGGGCATTATTTCAGACCATCTTGGAAGACAGACAGAAATAGATGTTCAAGTGACCAAAATGAACCCGATGAGTGATTTTGCATATTATAGAATATTTAAAGCGAAAGGGATCTTAGAGACCATCTAACTCAAATATCGAATTTTAGAGATAAGAAACCTGAGACATGGAGAAGCTAGGTAACTTGGGGGCCAATATGGTTTAATAAAAGAGAATAATAATCCTGGAATGTCGTAACAGAAATATGCTAGGGCTGGCTTGCTCTAGCTTCCGAGAGTTAATTGTTAAATTTTTAGCAGTTTTTGTGAGCCAGTTATTAAAAACTTTTACAATGAAAAATTACATATAAAGTCACACATTGTATTAAAACAAAGATATTTATATGCCTAATCTCTATCACTAATTATTTTGCTATGTGTTTCTGTTATCTGTGTTCTCGAGGTTGTTTACATCTGCTATATCTATATGGTGGAAATATTTTTATAATGGTGACCTCCCCAACTCTGTTCAGTGGGTGTCATATTGATAGCTTAAAAATGACCACAGGCTAGCATTTACACCATGAAAATTGGCAAACATTACACATGAAAATTGGCAAGCAGGGTGTAACTCACCCCTGCTGGGCCCTGAACCCCAAGCCAATTGATAAATATTTACCAGTGTCTCACTAGTTATGACTTCTGTGTTCTGTACTTATTTATGTGTTTAGTTTTGCTGCCAGACTGTGAGTTCCTTATGATTTGGAACTTACATCTGTAGAATCCAGCACAATACTTGGAGTTTAGTTGACAGACAAATGTTTTTAATTATTTAGTCTTTGGTTCAAATCCTGGCTCCATCACTTACCTATCAGTATGACCTTGGTTATTTTAACCTCTGTTTATTATTTAAAATGGAAATCATAATACCAGCCTTTCATGATTAGTGTGAGTATTAATGAGAAGACCTTGACGTGTGTCTGGTATACAGTAGGTGCACAGAAATAGTTGATTACTACTGTTATAACCTAAGAAGTCGACATAAATGCCATTAGGGTTCAGGCTTATACTGTATGTAGAGCTTTGTATTAAGTGTTTGACCACAAACTGGATGAGAATCAGGAATGTGGTACTGTTATTTTTGTGTGCATATATACTTCTCCTTCCCACACAAAATAATGAGATAAATTAAAAGGAATATGATATATAAGAGGCAGGAAGCAATCCTTCTGTTATATTTGGCATTGCTCAGACTCTTATTACAGTATTATGTCCAGTTTTACATTGCTCATTTTAAAGAGGATGTCAAAAAACTATATGTAGTGTGTCCTGGGAAGAATCAGCAGCTATGATTAAAGGGATAGAAAAATAGGCCCTTTGAGGCAAGTTTAAGGAACTGAGTTTGTTTACTCTGGAAAGGAGATGGTAAAGGAGTTACTTAACTATCTTCAAGTATATGAATGGTTAGTTTAAGAAAGATGCTCTCAGGTTCTCCAAATGCACAGTGGACTAAAAGAGGAAATCGACATTTCATTTAAAGAAAATTGTATTAAACACTTAAATTGTCTATCAAGGGATATCATGGAATCTTTGTTTTTGAAAATATTTAAAAAGAGTAGCAGCAGATGAATATTTATTGAAAAGTTTTAATGTTTGACCTCATGAAAGTGAGAGGTAGGATTGTAGATGTTGTAGCCTTTTCTACTTCTTTGGTATGATTTTCTTATATTTACTGTAACTTACCAAGCATATTCCAGATATCTTATTGGAAGACTGCTTACAATTTTGATAAAATTATGTTTTAGCTTGCATTGCATCTTAGTTGCTGGATTTGTCTTGAATGAAAACAGTCACTATTATCAATCTGCTAGTAAGCAATTTAAATGGAAGTTTATATATAAAACACATTTTATATAAGTTTATATATAATATACATTTGTATTTTTACATCCATTTTGACGTATCTGAAGCATTACTCAAGTATTCATTAAGATTTTTTTCACCAAATAGTACTTTACAGATATTTTGTAACTCTTTTGTGACAGGGAGTCCTCTTGGTATATGATATTACAAATTATCAAAGCTTTGAGAATTTAGAAGATTGGTATACTGTGGTGAAGAAAGTGAGCGAGGAGTCAGAAACTCAGCCACTGGTTGCCTTGGTAGGCAATAAAAGTAAGTTATTACTGCTTATTTATATATGGTACAGTTTACTTGCTGTTGTGGACAGAATGTTTGTGTCCCCCCTCACCCCCAATATATATGTCGAAGACCTAATCCCCAAAATGATGGTGTCTAAAAGTGGCGTTTTTGGGAGATAATTAGGTCATGAGAGTGGAGCCCTTAAGAATGACATCTGGCAGGGCGCAGTGGCTAATGCTTGTAGTCCCAGCACTTTGGGAGGCCAAGGCAGGGGGATTGCTTGAGGCCAAGAGTTTGGGACAAACCTGGCCGACATGGTGAGACCCTTGTCTCTATTTAATTAAAAAAGAGAATGGGATTAATGCCTTCATAAGAGACACGAGAGAGATAATAATTCTTTCTGCCATGTGAAGACAGGCAAGAAGCTGACTGTCTGCGAACCAGGAAGAATGCCCTCACTGAATCCTGAATCTGTCAGTACCTTGATCTTGGACTTTAGTTACCAGAAGTTTGAGAAATAATGTTTGTGGTTTAGGCCATAGTCTATGTCATTTGTTATGGTAGCCCAAACAGAGGACTTATTGAGACATTTGCCTATCCTGTAGTTTTAATTCCTACAAAGAAAGATTTGATATTTGGAAACAGCTTTTCTGGAGTGAGCAAATTATTTGAGTAGAAAATTCCTAAGAGTGTGTACAATCTTTTCAATAACCGTTTTGCTGCATGGTCTATCATAACTGCTCCACTGCTTTGGTCAATTCCTGTGAAGGTAAGTTTAGGTCTGACAGTGTGTGTTTTGGCTTCCTGTGGCCTAAGAAAGCAACATGGACTATTAAGAACAGCAACACAGCTGCAGATTTTATGATATTGCATTGCAGTTTCAGCTCTGTCCCAGAGGTTTTGAGCAATACATTTCATTAAATGATACCCTATTTTAGGTAAGAAAGAAGTGTCTACATTGGAATATTATATGCATTGTTCCTTGCTCCTGTCTCTTATAAACTTCCTCTTCTACATTTTCGGGTTTGTTCTGAAATATAATTTTGTTTTTTTTTTTTTTTTTTGAGAAAGAGTGTATTAGGGAGAGAAGAAGTTCTTGGTAAAAACTACGGGTTTGCTAGTAATTTTGAGACCGGTCTCTTGGGCTATGATAGATAGCAGAGAAAAATTATAAAACTGAACTCAATACATGACTGTTTTTTGGTTCCTAGTTCTGCAGTGCAGTGACTTAGAAAAAGAGACATTAATAAAGATTTTCAAATATAGTCATGTGTTGTTTAACAACAGGATATGTTCTAAGAAATGTATTGTTAGACAGTTTCATTGTGTGAACATTATAGAGTATATATTAGGGTTCTCTAGAGGGACGGAACTAATAGGATAGATGTATATATGAAAGGGAGTTTATTAAGGAGAATTGACTCACATGATCACAAGGTAAAGTCCCACGATAGCCCATCTGCAAGTTGAAGTGCAAGGAAAGCAGTAGTGGATCCGTCCGAGTCCCAAAACCTCAAAAGTAGGGAAGCCAACAGTGCAGCCTTCAGTCTGGCTGAAGGCTGAGAGCCTCTGGCAAACCACCAGTGTAAGTCCAAAAGTCCAAAAGCCAAAGAACTTGGAGTTTCATGTTCAAGGGCAGGAAGCATCCAGCACAGGAGAAAGATGGAGGCTGGAAGACTCAGCAAATCTGCTTTGTTCTAGCCATGCTGGCAGTTGATTAGAGAGTGCCCACCTAGATTGAGGGTGGGTCTGCCTCTCCCAGTCCACTGATTCGAATGTTAATCTCCTTTGGCAACACCCTTAGTGACAGACCCAGGAACAATACTTTGCATCCTTCACGCCAATCAAGTTGACACTGAATATTTACCATTACATAGAGTGTATTTACACAAACCTATATGGTATGGCCAACTACACACTTAAGCTATATGGCACAGCCTATTGCTCCTAGGCTACAAACTTGTATAGCATGTTACCATACTGTAGGCAGTTATAACACAATAGTGAGTATTTATGTGTGTAAGCATAGAAAAGGTACAGTAAAAATATGGTATAAAAGCTCCATTATAATCTTATGGGACCACCATCATATATGTGGCCCATTGTTGATAGAAACATTGTTATGCAACACATGAATGTATGTGAAATATTGTATGACTCGATGTTTCCCAACTTATTTGAGGTCAGAAAAAGAGAAAATTACTTCAAATTTTACCATGGAGAATTTAGGTTAGGTATTATTTCCTGACTACAAGGGTTGTTAAATCAATACCTACATACATTACCAAGAGAATTATCTTTTCCAAAGGTCTTAAAAAATGTAGTACATTTTTTTTTCTCTGTAATTGTTTAGGAAGCAGTGCTTCCTGAAAGACCAAACCAAGATTTCTGCATTATGTGGCTTTGCACACTGGATGAGCATTTAATAAGTTCAAGCTTAATTTAAAACCATGATGACACAGGTGTGAATGTTATTTCTCTGAGGAGTTAAAAATACAGGCATTATCATATGCTCTGGAAAATAGTGTTACATATCATGAAATGTTATGGCTTGGGTAGAAATTGTAGTTTGCTTTTTAAAACCTTTAGTTAAATTTTGCTCATCTGTTTTGCAAACAATTCTTTTTAATTGAGCGAATCAGATGCTTTTCATTTCATTGAAAATCCCCCTTTGGCAAATCATATTTTGATGAGCTTAAGTTCTATTTCTGAGTTCAGCTTCTCATTTTAGTTGTCATACAAAGCGTTGGCTTATATTATGGTTAAGTATGTGCTTTATAAAGGAGACTTCACATTACCTTATGAGAAATTATTGAGTGTCTGTGGGAGAGGGGTTATAATTTGTTTTAATTTTTTTCAAGATATAATCTAACTACCACTTGGGATAATGGTGTAGTGATGCATAATTATATACATTATGTTATGCGTATGCTGTCCTGTGAGGCATCCATTGTTGGTCACTGTCAAAGACAGGCTGTTAGAGTAGATGGGCTATTGGACTGGACTGGTGGTGGCATGCCCAGGTTTTAAAAACAAATATTTGTACAAGTTATTTGAATTTATGCAAGAAATTGATGCAATGTTATGTTGGAGATTTAATAGCATAAAAGACAAGACTTTTTTTTTTTACTTTTGGCATAGCTATAACCTCTTTTTTGTATGTATTTATAATATACTCTTTCAGAATGAGATTATATATCAGTATATGCAGTCACACAGAATGTTATATATGTAAGATAAAGAGATTATAGATAACTATTTTCCTGAATATTATTTACTACATAATCTGTCACTGACCCAATTTCATGTGATCATGTAATGAAAGATCCTTCTGCAGTTAAACCTATTAGGGCTTTAACCCTAAGTCTCCTGAATATATTATGATTTCTATTTCCAAATTAATGTTATGTTGGTATGGTATAGTAGTATGTACTTATTTTCTTTTGTGGGGGATATAATTATATTAGAAAGCAATACAGTTAACAAAGATTTTTCACACTGGTTAAAGGCAAAGCAAGAGATGTGATGGGAAGACATGTGAAGCTGGATTATTATACTTATTACATAAACATAGTCATCTTCTTCCTAAATGTGGTTTTAAAATTTATCATTGTGTACCTTTCTTTACAACTTAGATAGAATGCATATGTTGAAAAGAAATGTGTAGGCTGTGGAGATACTGGTAGCAGTAGCCAGCTTTTAGTTAGTAGAAGGAGGGAGAGAAAAAGAGAGGGTGAATACACATCTCCATACACGTTACAAGATTATTTACTTTTTATTAAAATATATTAAACCTTCAGAAATTTGGGCTGAGGATAGAGGATATTCTGATACAAAGATGAATTATGGACTCATTTTTATGAAAAGTTAAATTTTATGGTTAAATATCCAGAGTAACTAGAGTAGGTTAATGAAATGGCAAATAGAGGAAGAGGCTTCTTTTAATGAAGTGAAAGAACGATTGGCAACTAGTACATTATGTCAATATATAATTCTTAAAAATTAACATTTATTAAAATGAAGTTTTCTGTGTTCCGTTTTTAAAGGCTATCAGATGCTAATTAGTGTTATTTTGTTTTACTGTTTAAGTATTAAATGAAATATTGAGGTCATAGAGCTTTGGATTTAGACAGACTTTGCTTACAAGCCCATTTTCTTCACAGAAGAGCAGTGTGACATCATACAAGTTACTTTACGTCTTTATGCCTCAGTTTCCCGCATCTGGAAATCAGGGTAATAGTTTATGTTGGATAAAGTTGATTTAAAGATTAAATGAGATATTGTGTGAAAAGCACTGTGCTTGTGGTCTTTTGCATAGTAAGTGCCCAGTAACTATGAATTAGTTTATTAATCATAATGGCCTTTTAAAAGTACTGAGCATAGATAGCTTCAACTTGATTTATCACAAATTGCAAATTAGTAGAGCTAAAATTCATGTTCTGTGAAACTTTCCTGGAGAAAATGTTTATTAGAGAATTTCCTTATTACCATCTTATTTCTGTTCTCCCCTACCCCACCCAACAAGAGATTGATAGTTCTTATATTATGTGTTGGGTAGGGCCATTCTTTCATTGAACATTTTTGAGAGTCTGCTATGTGTATTAAGCTAGCCGTTGTTAATTTGCTGAAAGGTTGAGACAAAGAAAGTCTTTAAGGAGTGATGGGAACCTGCCAACTAGATCTTAATCTTATTCTCTGCCATCTTCAAATTAAAAATAAAATGTCTTTGTTTTGCTGTATCTGGTTGTTGAGATTAATAAATACGCTTATGGACTTTAGCAAGAGAGCTTTAGCAAGATGACTGAATAGAGAACCTGGCACTTGGTGAATGGAAGCCCAGAAGGGCAGTGTGGAGACACCCAGCCTCTGCAGCTCCGTCTCCCCTTTCCAGGTCAGATTGGTCCACAAACAGGAGAGACTTCCCCTTGTGGGGAAAAGGTAAGCAGAAGATTCCTACTAGTCCCCGTTTCCACTACAAACATCTACATTCGTTACTACAGGAGAATCCCACAGTTCTTGCAAACCCTGACTCT